CTCTCAGGTGAACTTATGTGGCCAGCAGAGAGGAACGTATGGATGTGCATGAATGATTTACAGTACTATGTATGTTGTATGTTCAGTTCATGTACTGCAATATTGTTTACAGCTGTGCACAGCTCTACCCAAAGGGAGTTTATGTTTGTTGTAAATAAGGGTGTATTTTTTCTTTTGCACAATGCTGTGAACAAATTAGAATTGCAAAGAGCATATGCAGTAAAAATGTGAAACATACATATCCAGTGTCTTGTACTCAGTTACCTCACTAAATACAGTAATGTGTAACTTTACTGTAGTTTTCAAATGGCTGTGCAAATAGTATATAGTGCTGTCTTGAGCATTTTCAGGCAGTGTCACCAAGATCTGACTTTTTTTGCATTGGAAAACATTTACAGAGTAAACTGTCATAATGAAAACATGACAAAGCCATTTGACTATCTTGTTCCTAAACAGTGGTGTCAGGACTTTTCATCTTGATGACATTGACACTTTCATTGACATGAATACTTGCTTTTGAGGAATGAGCTATCCATTTTGAGCAAGTGACACGCATTTGCAGGTTATCAACTAGGTTTTGTAGTTTGTACTAATTGTTTTGAGAACTGCATTAACTGTTGTGCAAATGTTGATGTGAGAAATGCACCAAAGCGACTGAGAAAAACTGTAATAGAAAACTTTACGTGTTGACTTGACCAAGCCTTGTTTTTTTTGTGTGTTTTTTTTTTACTTTAGGTTTATAGGACTTACAGATTTACAGACAAAGATAGCAATAGAATGATAGAATGATAGAACGATAGATAGATAGATAGAACGATAGATAGATAGAACGATAGATAGATAGATAGATAGATAGATAGATAGATAGATAGATAGATAGAATGATAGATATATAGATAGATAGATAGATAGATAGATAGATAGATAGATAGAACGATAGATAGATAGAACGATAGATAGATAGATAGAACGATAGATAGAACGATAGATAGATAGATAGATAGATAGATAGATAGATAGATAGATAGATAGATAGATAGATAGATAGATAGATAGATAGATAGACATTATCTCAGTAAAAAAATATTTGTCATCTTTTTTTTTTGTATATCCCATGTTTTTCTTTCTTTCTGCAGGGCATCCATTCCATTCCCCGTTTTCCATTCCATTGAGAAGTGAATCTGAACTGTCACAGATAGATATAGAGAGAGCTCATGGGATGGTGGTGAAGAATAGTGCTTAACATATCCAGGGAAGGAGTATCCAGGCTGTGCAGTGTGTTCCGGCTTTAATTATGATGAATGAGGAAGTCTCTCCTTGCGGGACTGCAGGGATCCGCTGGGGAACGGGGTGGAAGGAATCCTCCACTCAAGGCCTTCTTTTAGATCTTTCCATTCCTCTCTTGGGTATTTCTGCTGCATCAGGAAATTTCCAGTTTTTTAGAAATGTTCTTTACCTTCCTCATCCATCACATCTGCACTTGGCCCCGGTGTCATGTAAACCTGGAGCCAAGACAGTCACAGGGGGTGCATCCCGGCCTGCTGTTGAAACACATGAAATGAGACTTCCAAAAGATTACAAGCGCTGGATATTTATTTCACACACGCACAGGGACAATCCGTCATCTGCGTTGAAGTTGCTATAATTGTGCTCACGGCATTCTAATAAGCTTGAATAAATCACTAGAAATCACAAGAATTATATTTTTCTGCAATATTAAAGTTCCTTTCTTTAGTATTTGCAATTTTATAACATACTAAGACATTATACATCACATTTATCTTCTCAAGACTTAAAATTCATGAAATATGATAATCTCTTGATAATCTGCCTCTTTGTTTCTAAATAAGACTTGATCAGCGTTATCTGACATTTTTTTTATCTGGACTCGTAGAATCTGCTCTGTTTCTGCAACAATTAGATGGCATCATGAAATGTAAAATATCAAGACTGGCATGTGGCAGGACTTGGCTTTTGTACACAAATTTATTTTATTTTATTTTATTTATTTATGTATATATATATATATATATATATACATTATACATATTTTAGTTTCGAAGTCTAACACCTCACATATCACGTAACCCAAGGTAATGGGATTTCAAATGTATAAAAAAGACAGGATAGAGTAATTGTATGCCTTTTGTTCATATAAAAAGTACTGAAGAAAATTCTCTTACAGTCTATTATTTGTAACTGGAGAACTTGGACAGAAGACTTGCAATGTGCCTGGCTATCTGCTGATCTTTGATTAACCTTTATCTGGCTGATATCAGTAATGCTAAGACTTTTAATTTAGCTTCACAAAGCCATATGGGCCAGCAAAGGGAGTATGAAGGTCAAAGTCAATGTCAAACAGTTGAACATAGATGGATGGATGGATGGATGTGGGTATTACATTTGGACAAATGTAACAAAGGGCTACTATATCAGACAGTGGAGAGAGAGGAGAAGTACGGTAAATGAGGTTGAGAATGGAAGGAGGGATGATGGGAGGATGGGCAGAGAGGTGCAATCTGTGCTTTTGGCACTGCTGGTATTTAATGCTCCTTCTCATTCCTGCACAACAGATGGCAAATCAGCCGTGGGTTCCCAAGTGGTCTGACTAGCTGTGAGCAGGGCTGGGTCTTTTCAGTGCTACCATGAGGATAGGATTGCCATTTAGCTCATGGAAAGCAAACATTGAAGATTCATTGAAGTATTTTTTAAAGACCATATTGTACATTCACTGCACCCCCCCCCCCCCCCCCCCCCCACACACACACACACCAAAACCAGTCATCATTTATTTTTTATGACTTTTTTTTTCTACTGTACCTTTAAGACTTTCAAATGACCTGTTATGATTGGCTAACCTCTGTGTACCTGTCTAGTTCACACTGTTTCTGAATTCTTAATAAGTATACAGTATGTTCATTTGCTCATGATTCTGATTTCAAAACACCCATTTTTGCAGCTTAATTTCCATAATCATTCTGGCTTGAGGAAGGAGATTTGCATGATTAGAATTAGATTATGACTATTATGTCATCAGATCATCGCTTGTACTGAATGAGCTGGATTTAGCTTTGTGGTAAAAAAAAGCCTAATTCAATCATTAATAATGGATAAAAGCTTTTTAATATTTTTCATCTTGCCCTCTGTAGCTTATATGTAGATTGACCCGTTCTTTTGTTTGATGTAGGATGACATTGTTATATAAATCTGTATTACTGATCTTTTGTTGGCAGATGATCAATATTGTGTCCATTATTAGCGGTTCATTATCAGGTTTATTAATGGTTCATGGTTATTCCCATGACGTTTCGTTCCATTTACTCCAGCAGCTCCTGCAGTTGTCAAATACAAACACACCTACTGTAAATTCATTGCTTGGTCACATGGATGTCTGCCCAGACCAATGCGGAGTTAAGGAAGTGTATCGAGTCCAGACGCTACTATATATACCTGTCAGTCATGTGCTATCATGGAGTATTTTAAGACTGCTGTGCGTTTTGCCACCATACCTGCAGCCAGACCGAAATAACACATGTGAGGCTGTGAAGACAGCATGAGCCTTTGGCTTTTCAACGGCTCAGTTTAGACTCTATCTTTCTTCGAGGTGTGAAAGTCACTATTTGTACTGTTAGGCCTGTTTGCAGATGCAAAGTGGCGAAGCGTCTTTAATTTGGTGAGAAAAGCTGTGCAGAAAAACTGTCTTATGTCCCAGGGGTTCATATTTTATCACTTTTTTTGTGTGTATAAAATCACAATTTTTTATGAAGATCTGTCTCGAAAACTCGTCCCTTTATTACATGCATCATTGTTTTTTATTGTAAAATAAATCACAATGTATTATATATATATGTATAAAATTAAAATCTAATCATAATAATAATAATACTGTAATTTATAATAAATATGGCTATAATATGTATATTATATAATATGGCTGTAATATATAAATTCACCATTATATTATTTTTTACATGTCTATTATTATACATAATAGATTTTATTATTATTAATCATAATAATAAAATGTATACATTTTAATAACAATGTCTTAAAGAGCATGCTTGATTGAGATGAAATATGAAACATGATATGAAAAGAGACATTTTTGAGAAACATTTTTTTACCAGATATATTTATCATTTCCAACCAAAGCTGTAATTTTGTCAAATCACGCAAAAAGTGTGAAAATATCAGGCTGTAATTTTTCTGTGTTTAGGATACGCAAATTGCAAATAGCAAAACCAAGGTAATTTTATTTCAAAATTACACTTTGTTGGAAATGTTTATCAAAAAAATCAGAATTGTCTTGTGATGCATATATATAATGTCCACTCCTGGACATTTTTAGCAACAAATGCACTGATCTGGGTTTTCTCACTATCCTTCCAAGCTTATCTGAGTGATACTTCCCTACATTGGTGAAGCATTCTGGGTAAACACAGAGGGCTGCTGGTTCACTGTACAGCAGAGCTCATCCTCCTCAGGGACTCGTGTGTCCTTATTTGGGGCGAAATGACAGACCCCGGCCCACAGCAACAGCAGTGCCCTCACCATCTATTTACAGCTGGGGCAGGGAAGGGGGTCCGGATTATTTCCAAATCTTCCTGAGTGGGTCTGGCTGAATGCTTGTTTAAGAAAGGCAGCCATGCTGTAGGCCCTTCACAGCACACTTATCAGGGCTGTTTCTCATGACTCACGTCTAAGCTGAATTGTTTATCTGAATGCCTGGCAGAATCTGTGCTAAACTTACTCACTGCCACTGCGTGACCTGGGACACTTTCTAGAGACGTCTGCGTGGAGCTACCGCTGCTGTAGTTCAGACAAAAATAGAGTGTTTTCAGCCCTTATCCCATGCACATCGGGGGGGGGGGGGGGGGGGGGGGGGGGGGGGGGGTTAAAATACCAAATTGAGAACATTACCAAAACTACACTGCATTTGGCTCTTATTTAGTTATTTGTTTCGCACATTGATTTTAATTCCCATGTTTACTTGCATACAGATCTCTCAAATGGTGTCGGAGGGCAACCGGGAGGGTCTAAACGAAGCCGCGCTCAACCGATACAATGCCGACCGCCCGACTGCGTACAGCAACCCTGCTGCTCCACCTCCTGCTCCAGTAACCACAGCGCCCTCCAGTGGCACCTCCGCTGCTGCGTCCTTCTTTGCCAGGTAAGACTGTGTGCCCTATCATATATCCGGTGCAATGCGGCGCAAGTGTGTTATGCTAGTTTGCTAGCCTGACGCAGTTATTATTTTCTTTTTATTTTTTATTTTCTTATTATTTTATTACATCCTACGCCACGTTGTTTAAATAGCAAGTGCATTTGCGCCCATTTGTGAGTCCATTGGCGTGCTGGTCTGAAAACGAGGTGTGTTCAGGCGCATTGTTGGCGCATTGCTATTTTGAGGCAACTGAAATAGACTGGAAAATGAAACCTGGTCTAAAGTCAATGGGTTATAGGCGGGTCCACAGCGGGCATACACTTCACATACACATATACATGTCCCGTATATGGTCTGCTCGGTGCTTTAACCTCGCGTAGAGCAGATCTGTTTCCTCGCTAGAGAAGCGTTCAGTTTTTCCGCTTGCAAATTCCGCCATGTAAATAGCGAATCCGCCATGGCGCGAGCGCAACTGGCTTTTAACGGGAATGGGAGATGAGACTCTGATTGGTTTATTGCACGATACGCCCCAAAATAAGATTGCACGATACGCCCGATACCCCTCATTAAGAGAATAGGGACTGATTAAGCATCATTAAAGTAGCAAAAGTGGATTCGGACACGCCCTAAGTGCACTTGCGCCGTGCGCTTTAGACCATGCGCTTAGATCATTAAAATAGGGTCCTCTGTTTGTGTGTGTGTCACATGACCTCACTATGTTGTGTGCTTAGATTAGCTGGTTGCATTTGGCTACAATTCTGCGACACATCCAATTTCTAAATACTGTCAGAATATGTACTGCATTTGATGAAAAACGTATTTGACTGCTAATCATGTTCTGTAAGTATGCAGGGGTGCTGCACAAACTGGACATTTCCATGTGACCTTTGGTGTCATGTTGCTGTTATGGCTTCATGGGATTGTGAAGTGTCCATTGGATGCATACTTGAGAATATCAGGTTATCTCACATATTTTAGTCACCATATCCAACCAAGCAATCAGATCATCTGTTTCAAAAACACACCATCCAAATGCACAAGAGATAGGTTTATCGAATTGTATCTTCTTTAATGAATTTTTCCTCCAATAAGACAGCGATCTTGATAACATGACAGCTTCCCTTGAGCAAGCTCTCTCAAGTCTGAATATGTGATGAGCTTGACGGCCATCTGCAGTCTAAACACTCTGTCTGTCATTTCTCAGTCATAGAAGGGGTGTAGTGGGACTCGAGGTCTGACACTGAGAGTGGTTGCATGTCCTCTCGTGCTTGATCCTTCACTCGCACTCATCATCACAGCTGTCTGTTGTCAACAGGACATTTCTCACACTTGCAAACACACTTGCACAAATGCACAGGCACGGGCAGGTGTTGTCACGTTAATGGTGTCATATGAGATGCTCTGATCACCGGTTGACTTTTTCCCATAGCTGTCTCCCTGTAAAGAATCATTGGATTTAGTGCGGAAGTCCATTTGCCGCTGTTATGATTGTGTGTATTGTCTTTTGAAACAGGCATTATGTCATACTATGGGAAAGACATCCTCTTTCCCGATTCGTGCTCTGGTCTCTGTCGCCCGGTGGGGCCGTGGGAGGGGGCGAGGACATAGATCATGGGGTTTTATCGGAGCTGGAGTCGAGGAGGAGAGCGCCGCAAGATAGTGGGAGACGAATGGCCCATGTGAAACCTCAAAACCTCTCGTTTTCGTGAGAGCCTTTAATAAATCCAGCTTCTACAGCAGCTGGAGTTCATGTATTTTTTGTATCAGAGGGCTACAGTGGTGGTGGCACCATGATTTAATCTTCTTCTCCCCCATCTTCCTCTTTGTGCCCACTGCTTAGATGCCAGAAGACAGGCCTCTTGTTAATAAAATTAAAAGAAGAAATCCCGCCGTTCAATTACAGTAACCTCACTCCAAAATGAAATTCATTAAATAATGAGTAATGAATGAAACTCCATAATGAATTTATAAAAGAAAATTGTTCATGCAATATGTGTTCCGAAAACAATTTACTTGTAAATGATGATAGAAAATTAATTATGGAGTTGCATTCATTATTAAATATTGACAGTTCTTAAAAATATTTTGTCATAAAAACTGGTTGGCATGGCATTTTTGGCATGTTAATGGATATGATCATTTTGATATGTTCTGTCTTGATCTGAATAGATCAGAATAGATCTACACTGCTGATTCTGCTGGTGCTGTTGGTTATTGCTGCTGTACGGGACTTGATGACAGAATATTAGAATATTATAAAATTTTAGAATTGATGGTGACAGAATTATGTAGTATTATTCTGAAAAAGTGTTAGCATTCATTTTCACTCATGTTTGATATTGAGATGTTCAACAAACAGTTTTAGATATATGACCTTTAACCAGTTTGATTAGTCTTCAAAACACAAATGAAGTGATTATTAATGAAACCTGAGTGGTCTCTGTCCCTCCATTGAAAGTCCAGGAATCCAAAAAAGCTAATTAGAGCATCGCAAAAAGAACCAATCGGTTTAATCCAAGTCTTGTGAAGAGATAAGATTGCTTTCTAAACCGAACAGATGTAATTTAGGCTTTTAGTCACATAAACACAGAGAGCGTATTACATTTGGTGGTTGGTGATTGGCCAGGTTCAAATGTCACTACATTTATAGTTAATATTCATGAGAGTACTTTCAGTTGGAAAAGGTTTCAGTCTTTCCTCGTTTGTCCATCGTTTTGTTTTTCATATCTCATAGCTGTCTATCAAACTGTGGCAATGGGCAGAAAACATTTACAGTAAAAACCATTTGGCAGCGCCTCTGTTTCTGAAATGTGGTACTTTGTTTTACATGAGGGATAAACAGTTATGATTGATGGCATTTTGCCTCATCTGTAGAATGAATTGTTATACTGCTTGTGTGCTGTTAATCCCTATGAGAGATCTTAGTGTAGATGTATTGCTCAAACACTCTAAATATTTCTTTAATGTTCAGATCACAGAGAGGTTAAGAGGCTTCCATTGTGATTTACTGGCCTCATATCAACCACGCTGGCGGATACCAGAGCGAGAGAATGTACTAGATCAGTGGTTCTCGACTGGTGTGTTGCAGACAGCAGGACAAAACAATACTGAATGCAAATAATTATTTGCAACTTAACTTCTAATCATGCATAGATAGGAAAATAGCAAAAATATATAGGCTTACAACTTTTAAAAGAGAAGAGAAAAGTGCATATCATCTGTTTTTGACGTCAAAGCTTACTGTATGTCGACAATTTGAATTCTTTTTTTGCTGCATATTTATCAGTACAATATGAACAGGTTGCATGACATGCCAAGAAAAAAGACAAGCAAGTAAATAAATAAATGTAATTATTATTAATTGAGTAATATTGAATCGTTTAATTAAATTTAATACATTATTTTAATTTATCATTCATTCATGTGCACTGTCCTGAATAAATAAAATTATTTTAATTGAATTACTTATAAGAAATGTACTATATGCACTGGAATATAATGTTTCATTCATGATAAATAATATCGTTTTCAATATAATATTAATAATAATTTTTGGAATATTTATGTTTTAAACTATTTTGAAATTGTGTAAAGTCGGGCCTTCATGTTCAGAGTAAAATCCTGAAGCAAAACCAGTTAAAAACCACTGTGCTATAATTTGATCATTTATAACATAATAAATGCAAACTCCCACGTTTCATGTTGCTATTGATTTTGCATTTTTCGACATGTGTCTGCTGTTCATTTTCCTCTTTCACGGCAGTGAAAAGAGCAGGAGAGAGTGTGCCATGTGATTTATAACCACCGTGCCCTCATGTAGCAGACAGTGTCAGCCATCCTTCGGCAGTAAAAAAAGAAGGCTGTAAATTTCAGAAGAAGGTGCGGGTTTACATGAAGGACAGCCCTCTTTTGTGTATAAATGTGTCTCGGCCTGTTGTTTGACAGGTAAAGACTATCCTGCCAAAGTGTGTGTATGTGTACACCTGGCACACATTTTTCTCTTTGTTTGAAACAGAACCGTGTCACACCCCTTGCTCTTTTTCCCTGTCCTTACTCTGTGCTCGCACCTGAAAATTTACAGTCGTCGTAACATGCCTTCTTGAGAGAGTGCTGTGCTTTATGGGACAGGTGTCATGACCTGACCATCCGGATGCGTTCAGTTAAAGATGTGGCAGGGCTGTCAAACTCAACCGCACATCTGTAATTTACACGCCTTCTTTCCAGAAACCAAGAAAGACATTCTTGTTCTTTTTTTGATAAATGCGCCACATTTAAATGTTCTAAAAGCCATTTGAAAGTTTTACTGTCTATTTAAAAATGCCAGAAAATGAACATTCCTATTATATATATACAGCATTGCGCATCTCTGAGCAACACATGGTAGTGGGGGTTCGTTCCTGAATGAATCTGTGCTATTAAACGAATATGTTGAGCGAACGATTTCAAAGACTCACTCTTTTTATTAGTGAATAAATCAGTGCTTTGTAACAAATCGGTTGAGAGAATGATTCCATCAGTGTGTCCGAAACCGCATACTGTCTACATTTGAATTTGAATTTACTTCTTAACCGTGTTGTATCTCAACCGTCAACCGTCTCGGGCGGAAGGTCACCCGTGTACTTTTTTTTGAATACTTTGTATTCGGACGTACTGCTCTGTTGGCTTACTGTTTTTCGCATATATAGTGGGGAAGTAATTGATTTCTGATGCAGCGCGTAACTCATCTCAAATACCATCGCTTGTTTCGTTTAGAAAGAATTCGTTTTTTTGAACAAATCGGATGAGCAAATTATTCAGTGATTCCCTCACACAGTTTTAGTTCCTGAATGAATCAGTGTTTTGAACAAATCAGTTGAGCAAATGACTCAATGATTCACTCACAAAGGTTTACCCCAAACGTAAATCCATAATCAATTGATATGATTTCCTTCAAACTATAAAACTAATCTTCTTTATTATTTTATTTTAAGTTATTTTATTAAAAATGGTGTTTTGGTAGAAACTAT